CAACAAATCAATTATTTTCTAATAGGGTTTGAAAGAATATTTACCAGAGAACAATCACGGAGATGCAAGAGCTGCTGTACAGAATTCGTAGGGTTTCACAGATTATGTAAGGAACAATATATATCACGTGAAGAGAAATTTGATGGAATATAACAAAATATTTAAGGGTAATTTTGTATTTTGTATGCCAAAATAATTATTCATATAAGATCTTAAAAAAAAAGGTGGGGTATAGGTACTTTTTTAAAAAGATCTTAAAAGCCCTCCAACAACTTATTTTTTTAATTTTTAAGATCTTTTCAAAAAAAATTACCAAACACTTTTGAAGAGCTTATAAGCTCTTAAACATCTTATAAGATGTTTTTAACAGCTTATAAGCTTAGCCAAACACCCTCTTAACTGTCAGAGACAGTGATTTAACTGTTAATTGATTTTGTTTTTTTGAAAATTTATTTTTTCTTAAAAAAAATAATTTTAATTAATATTATTGTCTTGGCTGCTAAATTACTGTCTCTAGCAGTAATTTAACTGTCTGAGACAGTAATATTACTGTATAAATTAATTTTATCGTCTTGGCCCGATCGTAATATTACTGTCTCATGCAATAATATTACTGTTTGGGACAGTAATATTAGTAATATTACTGTTCGTGAAAATAATATTCATAATATTACTATCCCAGACAGTAATATTACTGTCTGAGACAGTAATTTAGCAGACAAGACAGTAATATTAATTAAATATTTTTGTCTAAGAAAAAACAAAATTACAGAAAAAAAAAACGGCCGGAAAAAAAATTTCAGAAAAAAAAAAGTTTTCAAAAAAATAAAAAAAAATCAACGTCGGAATCTTGCCGGAAAAAGAAAATTCAGAAAAAAAAATATTTTTTTCAAAAATTTATTAAAATGGGGGTTAATGTGGTATATTTGTTTACATCTGGGGTCAATGTGTAATATTAAGGAAGCTAGAGTATAATGGATATAATTGCTAAAAAATATATTATGGAGGGTATTTTAAACTAAAGAGATGGGGATGAGTTTATTTGAGTTTATTTGAGAGACTGTTTTTATTTTGTGGACCAATGTGCATTTACGTCCCTTATCATGTCCCTTTTTACCATATGTCCTTAATTAATTTGATTTTGTATTTTAATCTTTTTTTATGTTGGATTTTTGATTTTAGGGGCTCTTTGAAAAAAAAAACCCCTTATTACTTCATTTAGTGGAGAGATGCCCAAAATATTTCTCTCCATTTGAAAAAAGCCCACACCCATTGCCAGTCATTATTTTTTCCAATTTTGTCCCCTCCCTCCACATCAACACTGCATCACGCGTTGGTCATCAGCGATTTTTTCTTTTTTTTTGTTTTTGTTTTTTTTTCCGTTTTTTTTTCTTTATCGGTTTTATTAATCGACAATGAAGCATAGTCGATTAAGAAATTTTTTTTTTTTTTTTTTATTTTTTTTTTATTTTGTTTCTATATCACGTATATTAATCGGCTATGATGAAGCATAATCGATTAATAATCTGCTACTAAAACTAACAAATCACAACTGCAAAAAAATCCAAAATCAAATATATTTTACAAAAACAAAAAATATACAAACATTATTGATTTATACAATTGGAATCAATAAACAAAAAATTCATAATAAAATAAAAAAATTGGAGTCGATCAACCTTAATCGACTACTAGAGCATAGCCGATTAGCTTAATCGACTATTGAACATGTACATAATTGATTAAGGTTCTAGCCTGCGCGAATTTCTCTACACGCGCCGTCATCAGCCCGATCCACCAAAGAATCCTAAATCTGCCTCCCCATCGTCACCACACAGCCGTCACACCACATTATTCAACCAATCCCTAAAAGAATAAAATAAATAAAATTTATAATTCATACAAAAAGACACAAATTAGCATTTCAATGTCCACAAAAAAAGAAAAAAAAAAACTGAAACGTTTCGAGGTATTTGTCAACCATTGTTGGTCACTCCATAAACAGTTTCTGAACACATGACAAAACCAACACTCAAAAAAAAATAAAAAAAAATAAAAAAAAAAAGCAAATACCTTGATCGACATCAATTGCAACAGTGGTTTTCTCATGACTCGTCCTCGTAGCCGTAAACCCACTACGTCCTCGACGACGAGCGTTAGTCATGAGCTTCAACGTCATCGGTGTAAACCACCGCCGCCAACTTATACAAATCCGTCACCATCCTTCACGCGACGGCGGGATGCGGCGACAAACACTCTTCCACCACCACCACCACCACCGTCGGTCGACATCTTGCTTTTCCTCCAAATTTATGTTGAGAAAAGAAGAGAGAAGAGAGTAAATGAGAAGATGAGAATAAGAGAAGAGAGAACGGCAAATGAAATGGGTTAGGCTTTTGAAACGTGAAAATGAGATATAATATTAGTAAGGGTGGTTTGGGAATTATTAAAATAGCATTTGAGTGAGATATTAGCTAAGGGGCTTTCCATAATTATTTTAGGGAGGGGTGTTTCCTTAACTCATTTTCCTACATGATGGGGTTCTTGCTAACTATTCCTTGATTTTATGTTGTAAAAATTTCCTTATGGATATTTTTAATTTGGGCACTCTACAAACAAGTTCATCAATTGGTACTTATTCATAAACGAGTCCAGACAAAAAACTCTTTTACAAAAAAGTCAACACATTGTCCAGATGTTTGTAAAAGACTAAAATAGCCCCTCATATTTTAATATGCTCCAATTTCATCCCTTAATTTAATTGAACCTCAATTTGACCCCAAATTTCACAAATCATTCAATTTTGACCCAAAACGCAATTTTGAGAACAATTTCGTTCGTCGCCGCCGTTGACTTTTTTCTTCTTCCTGTTCCGCCGGTTTCCGGCGTTGACGAGGCCGGTCTCCGACTTTAACTTTTTTTATTCTTTTCATTTATTTATTTATTATTATTATTATTTAAATATCGTCTGCGCTCAAAGTTACTGTCATAACCTAAAAATTAGTGTCATCCATAAGGCAAACCATAATTGTAAAGTTCGTAAGTTTTTTCTAAGCCTAATGGAAATTTTGATTCTATTTTACTCTACAAATCTTTGTTTTGTGACATATATAATGGATTATTAAGTTTTCTTTCATTATTAGAATTTTCTTTTGTTAGCTTTCATGGTAATTTTTTTTTGTAGATTATGTTGATTTTGAGGAGTTTTTATTGGTAATTATACTGCATTTGCATACTTATAATACTGCTAAGAATAAAATATTACCATTGTTTAGAGTAATTTTCATATATGTATCTTTGTTGTTGACAATATTGGTCCGATACACGCGTCACATCTCTTATGATATGGCGAAGTTTCTATTCTAACGCCATTGACAACAACATTGTGACGCGTATCACGCAGACTCATCCTTATACAAAGTGTGTGTATGTAATATTGTACTGTCACTCACACAGTTATTTTTAACTTTTGTGCTTCTCATGTTGATAATGATGTTGTGGTGAACGAACAAAATGCAGCATATCTCAACACCAACACAATAGAAGTAAGCATCCTATAATCCCTCATAAACATACTATATTGTCATCAACAACAACATTATATAACACGTGCAAGAAATGCAACACAAAAAGCATTAACAGTACAATCCCATGTTAACATAATTATCCTGTGAACAACAATCACAATACAATGCGACACAGTCCCATCCCAAAAGCATTAACATAATTATTTATACTGTCACAAACAGTATATTACATAACAGAGAATTTGACGTATGCATTCAATCATATTGTCACTAACTGAAATGTTATGTATAACATACCATTATGCATACACGAATTCAATACAAACGAGCTCCACATAACAAAAGGTTTAAGAAAACTGCATCTCTCAATAGCACAATAGAAAAATCACTGATACAATATTTGCACACACATTTAAAGCACGAAATACAAACGGAAAAGAAAATGAAAATTAAACTCCAATGAGCTCAAAAAACGAAAATCATTCAAAGTGTCATCTCACTTTGAAGACAAAATACACTAAAAACAAAGACAATTGTGAAAAACTCAAAATCAGCCACACATATTCAGTACCATACATCATTATGTTTGATTTTCACAATTTGTTTACATACCTAGTTCAAAAATCAACGCCAGGAACTAAAATTACAAAGAAAATATAAACACAATAATATTATTATCAACCACATCAATATTTTTTTTTTGCCTTTTTATTTCATTAGATTTGTTGACCGATTAACATAATAATATTATTGTCTACTATTGTAATATTACTGTAAAAAAAATAATACACTACAAGAAATATTGGTTTTAGTGACGATTATGTATGGTCGCTAAAAGTTAGAAAATGGTAGCTAAAACATCTAGCGACCAAATTAAGCTTGGTCACCGGTGGTCACAACAGGGTAGCTACTAAAAGTACTCAGTGACAAAAAAATTAATTGGACGCTAAAAGATGAGATTTAGCGGCGAACTAATAATGGTCACTAAAAATATAATTATTAACGACCAGTTTTAGCCTCGCTAATGTAAATTTTATGGTGGCAATAATATTAACATGGTTGCTATAGCAACATATATAGTGGCCATATAACTTTGGTCGCTAAATGATATATACGTGTAGTGACCATATTTTATTGTTGCTATAGGATATATATTTGGCCACCACATTTTTTGGTTGTTACATAATATACATATAGTGACGGTATATGTTGGTTGATAAATAATATATCTATTGGTAGCTAAAATATATACATATCGTGACCATATTATTGGTTGCAATAATTTTTACATGGTTTCGACAATTATTAAATTTACTCACCAATTCAGACCAATAATTAATTGGTTGCATTAATCATTAATGTTTATTTGCAACAGTGGCCGTAAAAAAAATTAAAATAAACTAAAGATTGCATATTTACATATTATCAAACAAATGTGAATATTATAATTTCAATCTATCATACTCAATACAATAATAAATCAATCATTCCAAATAATAAGAAAGATTACTATAATTATTTCATAATAAATTCCACTTCATAAATTGTTAAGCGACAACAAATATGACTTCCACGATAACGTTCTTTCACTTCATCAAACAGTCCAACCTAAAAAAGGGAGAAAAAATTCAAATAGAAAATAAGAAATCATATGATAAAATCAATTTCAATCATTTGTCACTTAGTAGCACTCATAATTCAATAATGTATATGGGCTCTTGCATAAGTAGCTACTTACCTCGTCCAGTCCATGTGTTTAATGTGATGCATTGCCTGAGAATTATTAGTTAGGACAGAAATTGTAATTCATTTGTTCTACCTCATATAATAATTGAAGAAGCTTAAAAAACAATTAATTCGAAATATTGCATGAAATGGATCAGAACTTTGATTTCAGAAAACTCACCTAGATCCTAGTGCACAATATAGCTAAACTTGCTCCTCCCGACTCCCTTCATCAATTGACCACCAGTCACCTGATATAAAGAATTTATCCACAATCAGTAGAAGTACAGAAAGAATTTTGACAAATTTTATGGTTCATTTTTACATAATGTACATTCGGTATACCTGGATCCACGACAAATAAATCTCATATAATCATGAGCAACACCCGGTAAGCTAATACTACTTTCTATGCCAGCTCCATCTGAAGTAAGAGTGTTGATTTGTTCAAATTTATGCATGTCAAAAAAACCCGGTCCTTGCATTAATAAAAGAGAGAACAAAAATTAAGTATATTTAGCAAAAATCGTAACGATGAGATCAATACATTACCAAATACTAACTCAATATCGTCCAACCAATAAATTTACTTAACATACCCTCATATGATGTTATGTCTAATTTTGATCAAAATACTGTAAACTTGTTGTTCAATGTGCATAAGACAAATTTCAAATAAATAAGGGCATAAATAGATGCTAAACATTAAACTTATCCATAAAATGTACAGAGTAGCTTAGCATAATTAAATGTTCTTTAATAAATACATATCACCCGAAATTGAGTCTTCATTTGTTCTCTGGTATCTCATCACCAAATATGCAATCAAAGTACATAATATTCAGTATACCTGGATCCACGACAAATAAATCTCGTATAAACGTGAGCAACACCCGATAATCTAATATTATTTTAGAAAATCTGGCAGCTTTGGTACTTCAACTTTGAAAATTCATATATATTAAACCATGCATACAAACCTTATGAAATTTTAACACAACGTTCACATATATGTGATTTATAGCATATTAAAACAGTTCAGTAAAATACCTATCCATGAAAGAGAAATAATTAATTTAGTACAGCAACATCAGCAGAATTTCAGAACAGAGCATTCAACTTTAAAAATACCAAATAAATCATTTTTTCAAAGAAACACCATGAAATTTCACGAAGAATCAGATTTATAAGTCTATAATCATATCCAGTTGGAATTGCATGAATCGGAACAAGATAAAATCTAATTTAACACATAATTCATAGATGACTCAGAAATCGTGCAGTTTTAGAAAACGGTTCATAACTTGATCAATATAATTCCAAATTATGCATACCATATGTCAAAACGAAGCTAACGGAAACATCTACACGTAGAATTAATTTCATAATTTTTCAGAAAATAAATCAGCGATGAATAATGCACTGGAATCTGGGGCTACGAATCTAGAAATCGAACTAGGGTTTATTGAAATCTATATTTCTTGACCTAGATCCCTAAATCCGATTCCTAAACCATATGAATCAATTAAAAACATAAGCATATCTTATTATTTATCATCAACTCAGTAAACACCAAAGTCCTTACTCTTTGAAGAGAATCGAATACAAAGAAGAAGAGGGAACCGAAGGATTAGATATGAAACTTCCCGGAGAAGAAGGGGAAATTAATGAATTCGAAAATTCTCTTTTCCTGTAATCAAATCTTCCAAATCTCCTTAATGAATTCGAAAACTCTCGAACAGGGGTAGGAACTAGGGCTTGGAGAAATTGGGTGAAATAGGTGAATACTTTTGGGGAAAACAAAAGAGGTAAGATAAGAGGGATTTGGTGCAAACATAATGAAGAAATTAAGAGAGAATTTTTTCTTGATTTTCTGTAATATTATGCGAGAATTGGGAGAGAGATAGAGAGAGCGTAAGGAGAGTGAACAGAGTTATATTTTGTGATGAAGAAACGTGATAAATGGCTGTACTTTTTTTATCATTTGCATTTTCGCCCCCCATCTTTATTTTATTTTCTTTTCTTTTCTTGATTTATTTAAAAACTAAACTAGTGACCAAATCGATTTGATTTCCGTAAGTAGTTTCATAGTAACCAAATTCAAGTGGTTGCTAGCAACTCAATTAAATGGTTGCTAATAATTAAATTAAAGACTCGTAGCAACCGTAAAAAAAATTGATGTTAACGTGGTCACTATTGACACTAAGTTATAGTGACCATAAAAATTGTCGCTACAAACTTTAACATTAGTTGCTACACGATGTCTAACTATTAGTGACCACGTATAGCTACCAAATGTTCGCTGGTCGCAACAAGATTTAGCCTTTTCCACTTTTGCTACAAAATTACTTTTGGTCACTAAATGTGAACATTCAGTGACCATTTAGTTTTGGTCGCTAAGAATTTGGTCACAGAAACTAGTTTTTCTTGTAGTGATACTACTGTGTTTGACGGTAATATTACTGTCGTTACATACAATAATATTACTGTGGTTGACAGTAATATTACCGTCAACCACATCAATACTAATTCCTTTAGATTTTTGTTATCTTTACCTTCGTTGAACGGTCAACATATTAATATTACTCTATCAGACAATAATAGTTATTTTTGTTGTGTCAATATTACTGTGCTGGAGAGTAATACATTAATATTTACTGTGTTAAACAGTAATATAGTTAATATAACTGTCAACCACAACAATATTACAGTTTAAACGGGCCAAAAAATGTTGAAGAAAAAAAATTTATAAAAAAATGTCAAACCGCCGGTCAGTAGTGCCAACAAAAAAGAAAAAAAAAAAAAGCCAACGCCGGAAATTTGCGGAAAAGACAAACAGAAAAAAAAGTCAACGGCGGCGACGGGCGAAATTGTAGTCAAAATTGGGTTAGGGGTCAAAATTGAATAATTTGTAAAATTAAGGGTTAAATTGAATTAAATGAAGAAATTTGAGCATATTAATACGTGCGATGGTATTTTAGTGTTTTACACACCTCTAGACATTGTTTGGATTTTTTTTTTGTAAAATTGTATTTTTGTCTAATCCCCTTTATAAATAAGTAGCCATGATGGGCTTGTTTGTAATAGACCCTTTATTTTATTGAAAATAATAAAAATTCAACAAAATAACAAAATTAACTTATATAAAAATACTCTCCTAAATATTCAATAGGCGAATGGCAAATAGGTCCATCACATGGACTTAAATGCACATTGGTCCACAAAAAAAAATAGTTTTTCAAATAAACACATCCCATGTCTTTAGTCTAAAATACCCTCCATAATATAATTCTTATCAATTCCATCCATCATGCTCTAACTTCCTTAATATTACACACTGACCCCGAATTTAAACAAGTATATCACATTAACCCCCAAAATAATAATTTTTTGAAAAAATATATTTTTTTTTCTGAAATTTTTTTTCCGGCCAGATTCCGGCGTTGACCTTTTTTTTTTTTTTTGAAAACATTTTTTTTTCTGAAATTTTATTCCAGCCGGTCAACCACAATTGACAGTCGGTCTCCGACGTTGACTTTTTTTTTTTTTTTTTTCTTTTTTTGAATTTTTTTTTCTTAGAAAAATATATTTTAATTAATATTACTGTCTTGGCTACTAATTAATTACTGTCTCAGACAGTAATATTACTGTTTGGGACAGTAATATTATGAATATTATTTTCCCGAACAGTAATATTATTAATATTACTGTTTGAACAATTAAATTACTGTTGCAGACAGTAATTTAGCAGCCAAGACAGTAATATTAATTAAAAAAATATTTTTTAAGAAAAAAAAAATTAAAAAAAAAAAAAGTCAATTAACAGTTAAATTACTGTCTTCGACAGTTAAATAACTGCTGCAGATAGTAATTTAGCAGCCAAGACAGTAATATTAATTAAAAACATTTAATATAAGAAAAAAAAAGTCAATTAACAGTTAAATTACTGTCTCCGACAGTTAAATAACTGATGGAGACAGTAATTTAGCAAGACAGTGATATTAATTAAAATATTTTTGAAGAAAAATAAAAGTCAATTAATAGTTAAGTTACTGTCTCCGACAGTTAAATAACTGATGGAGACAGTAATTTAGCTAGACAGTGATATTAATTAAAATATTTTTGAAGAAAAAAAAAGTCAATTAATAGTTAAGTTACTGTCTCCGACAGTTAAATAACTGTTGGAGACAGTAATTTAGTAGCCAAGACAGTAATATTAATTAAAATATATTTTTTAAGAAAACACAAAATTATTATAAAAAAAAAAAAAAAAAGGCCAATGCCGGAGACTCGGCGGTTGACCATTCGGAAAAATTGAAAAAAAAAATTCAACAAAAAATAAAAAAGTCAACGTCGGAGTCCGGTGGTGGCGGGTCAAAATTGAGGTCAAAATTAAAATTATGGTTAAAATTGGTTAATTGATGAAATTAGGCTAAATTGGGGTGTAAATCATGAAATTGGAGTTGAATTGAGTTTCAATGAATTGGGGGTAATTTTGGTATATATAAAAGGATTTTCCTTATTTGCAAATAAGTTTGAATGGGCTAGATTTAATTGAAAGACAAAAAAGTTGGATGTCCATGTTTTAATTAAGTGCCCTTGTCATGGACATATTTGTCATTTGCCCTATTTAATAAAGGGGCTATTTGACAAACTCCTCATTGAATTTTGACTTGATGATAAATCCATTTTTATTAAATGATATTTGTTATAAACACAATTGACTCGAATTATCCAAAAAATACCTCTTAATATTACTAAAAGTTACCATATTATATTATTATAGAAAATCCATTATTTTTTTTAAATATGCAAATCCCCTTAATATCTCCCATATCACGCCATTTCAGTTTTTATTTTTCCTCTTTTTTTATTATTATTTATTTTTTAATAGTTTTCTTTATTTCAATTTAAAAAAAATTAGTTATTTTTTATTTTTTTTCATTTTGCTTCTGAAGTCCGGTTTTAAATCTTTTTTATTACATTTTTCATATTTTT